AAAAAAAAAAAAACGCTGTGCCATGCCTTGTGTCTGTCATGCTGCATCCCTCAGGCTACACCTCAAGTCTCTGCCTGTCACTTTCTCAGTGTTACATCTATGTGTGTGTGTCTGTGTGTGTGTGTGTGTGTGTATCAGCCAGCCTGCTGTAATAACAGAACAGTACTGCCAGCGCTGTAAAAAGTGTGCATAGAGACAAAGAGAGGAGGGGAGGCTCCCAGGCTGCTGGAGACTGACCTTACTTCCCGAGTCCTTGGGTCCACACTCCCCCTTATCGTACCACCATTTGTTTTTCAGTTTGTCTAAGACTCCTGCTTCACTCAGTTTCAATACGGCAAGGTTTACGGGCGTTCTTCAAATCACGGGGAAGGGTGGGGTGGGGAAAATAACATAAATAACATCATAGGACATGTTATTTTATGTTATTCAATCAGAAGAAGCCCAACAAGAGCAGCTCAGTACTCTTTACAAAAGTGACGAAGCCTGGAAGGGGCCCCACGTGTGCTACATGTCTCTTTGCTCGTGATAGGATAAATATCTGTTTTTCTTTTTTGTTTTATTTAACTGGGGAGGTATTTAGGGGAAAGGGGCAGAGCTAACAGACATATATGTGGAGCCCCGGCTGCATCGCTTTTCTGGAACGGGCGCATACTGCCGGGACCTTTTTTGGAACAAAAATGGAGGCCAGTACTGTTGAACCAAAACTATTGACTCAGAACATGTACCTTATGCTCCCCCAGTGCACGAAAACACCCAATAGGGGCCTTCTTTCACTAAATACAGCAGTTTTACCACTTTAATCAACCGCTTCGTGAGCAGTACAGTAAATATTCCTGCTTCAACAGTACTCGCTTCTCCGCTCCAGATTCAAAGCTGCAGCATCTGAACCATCTGCGTGACAGATCGACCCGGCAGATGCTCCTGTTGCCGACAAAAAAGAACACATTTCTCTTTTTTTACCCGCATCAAGGTCACATGGGCATAGCGACATAGCGGCTAACCTTCTCGCCACCGCCTCCGCTGCCACACTCTCCTTTGTCGTACCACCACTTGTTTTTCAATTTGTCCAACAGGCCTTGCTCATTGAGTTTTAACACTGCCAGGTTAACTGCACTTCTTGAAAACGATAAAACATATTTGGTGAGAGGGGGGTGAGTATGCTGTCCAATTTCAGGAGGGAAGGAAGAGAGAGGGGGGAGGGAGGGAGAGAGGGGAAGGGAGGAGCAGCAGTAAGAAAAAAAAAAAAAAGGGAACAAGGGGTGGAAAAGTGCGTTAATCCCATTCGAGAACCCGAACGCACGCCGAACACAAATCTCTCTCTGTCAGTGCAGCGACTTCAGTGAAGTAATGCCGTCTCGGTTCTAAACAAACCAACTGGAGACATTACAGGTTAGAATAATTTAAGAAGCAAGAGTTGATAAAAGCCGACATTTCAGCCGCCAAAATTCACATCAAGTGGTTAAAAGAACCTTGCTTTTAGTATTTACTTCTGTGTGAAATTAGACAGTTTGTTTAAAAAAAAATGAATGTGAATTTTGAGCAGTTATTCTGACACTGCTTTGGTTTTAACCCTCTGAACCTCTTGAGTAGTTTCTCATATTTTACTCACTGTGGGCTTCTTTTTCTCTGCAAGATAAAGTCCTGCTCCTCTGTGGAAACAGCACAACCATGACTAGAAGAAGAGAAAACTCAGAAATGTCTTCTGTGTATGGCACAGTTATATTGCTGCAAATCATAAAAAAAAAAGAAGAAGCTAGAATTCTCTGATCAGTTATTTTCACTTTAAAAAAGAAAAAGAAAGAAAAGAAAAAAGCTGGACTCAACATGAAATTTTCCAGGCGCTTTCAGTTCATACTGAAAAAAAAAGGTAATTCACACCACTATCATTTTCCCATTTACATTTTTAACTTCTTTCCATAGCTGTCACTACAGTTTAACTGAAAAGTCCATGAATTTCTTGTGACATGACGACTGCTTGCAGCTGAGTCACTAACGGCCTCATGGTTGCATCAATGAGCGCAGAATATTTTGTGTTTTCTTGTTGGTGTGGTATATTTTTTACTAATTTTTAAATTAGATATGTAAAATAAAATGACTGATTAAATACCACAATTTTACGTGTAGATTTTCCTATTTTTCTTGACAGAACCACGTCACATATGTAGGAAAGTTAAAAAAAAAAAAAAAGGAAATCCAAACATTTTTTCAGTTTTAATGGTTCTGGCTTTGATAAATTTTGTAGTTTTGGCTCTTTTTAAAAGCTGAAGCGCTTTTCAAACCCGCCAACTGGTTTTGTGTTTCAGATAGTCAAACTGAATGTGTTTTGTCAGACTGCAAAGCTCAAATGAGGGAAGGAGAGTTTAGCAAACAGTTAGCTGAGCAATTTGTCAGCAGTGGTGTCCAACCTGGGAGTGAGGATGCCACTGTAAGAGAAATCAAAAGGTGTTGCAAGGTTATTAATATGAAAAAATAATTTTGACTTGGCGCTTGACAAAATGTCTGAAAAGTCCAGATCGAGATAGTTCAATAAATACTGAAAAATTCTCCCTCGTGGTCTCCAGAGGATCATTCTTTAAGGCTTTAGTGATCACCAATGTTCATGTGTAGCGCTACCACTTGGCCAAAAGTTCCGTTTTTCGAATTAGTTTAAAATATTCTTAAACTCTGCAAAGGTTTGCCTCAAAAATCTCAAGTTAATATACTGGAACAGGGAAACTTTAAAGTTTAATATTACATTTTGATTAAAATATACATATTTTTTTTATCCTTGTTATAAGGATAAAAAAATATGTATATTTAATTGAGTATTGACACAACACTGTCCAGCTTGAAACATGAAATTTTGGCACCAAATGTTGGCAATCAGCAGCGTCAGTCCCTTAATCTCAGCATCGTCCAGCTCTGTGAGAAGCAGGCACCTCCACATAATTTGGACCCGTTTTACACATGTGAGCCAATTCAAAGCTCGCCGGATTTCTGAGCATTAGGCTCTTCTGGAAAATCATGATTGACTTGCACAAAAATGTCCAAGAAAAGCTTTTTCAAAATAAGTGTGCGTCATAATTTCATGGGCTCTTTTGAAGGCTGCTGCAGCGATGTCTGATGATAGCGCAGCGAGAGAGAGAGATTTGCTTCAGCGAGCGTTTTGATCACTTTAATTTATTTGTATCATTTATGAAAAATAAAGAGGAAAATAAAAGATAAAACAGTCAGAAATGGGAATGGATCAGAAACACAAAGCACACAAGCTAATACTTCAGTTTAAGCTGATGATTGCAGATTGATCGCGGAGCCGTGTGAAATAACAGCCCTAACCGACGGCGCTGCCAACTCTTGAAGTTTGCTGGTGTGTTTTCTCGCTGATATCTGGACAAGTGACTGACAGAAGACGATAATCCCCAAAAACAACAAGATGGAGGCCTGGAAGCAAAGGAGGACTAATGTGATCTGTCAGGGACTCTTCCTGGTCAAAGCAGTGGCTGAAAACTGGCACCAGCCTGGCTGCGAAACAAAACCAGTAGCTGCTCTGCTCTATTTCAGTTTCAGAGGAATTTACAGAAAAACAACAACTAATTTATTTATTGGCTGTGAGGAGTTGGAACAAATTACTTTGTTGGTACCTGTTCACAAAGAATAGAGAAAAAAAACACTCCTGCTTGGCTGTTGTCTTCAAGGCGTCTCTCTAATTACATTTGATCAATGCTCTAAAATGATCCATTTATTCAGCAGAGCCTTAATAGAAAAGCGCTCTCATTGGTATTTCTTAAAAACATGTGTGTATCGTGCAGGAATAAATTAAAGTGCAGGCGATTGCAAAGCTGCACACACAAACACCTGCCTTCAGTATATTTATCCGTTCCCCTCAGTGAGACCTTGCTGGCGGCTTTGATCGATGAGCGTGCGGATTGAAAGTGCAACTCCCCACAGTAATGACACTGTATTCTGTGGCAGGTCTGTAAATTCCACTATGGTCGGGAGGCAGTGACAGAGTCTGGCAGAGTCACCCAGGGCCGAGCATTCAAACGGTTCCACGAAACACCATTTCAGTCGAGAAACAAAGAGCCAGTCAACCGCGAAGGAAAGCTGAAGTAGCATTAGCTAGATCTCTAATTATATTCTGTGTATAAAATGCAGGTTTATCAGCTAAATAAGACATTTTCAGATGAGTCAGGTTTACTAACGGCATGCCATTCCAACATCTCTTGGCCCCCCAAACAGCATGCACAACATTTACCTGGTGTGGAGCGCTGTAAAGGAGAAAGAACATGAAATATAGCAACAACCCCTGCAGCGTCACAACGAAGCCCCCACGTTCATGCAACAAACACGGATGTCAAAAAAGCTGCTACTTCTGCCCTGAAACAAACAGAAATAAAACCGAAAAATGCCCCACCCACCCACACCAAGCAGAAAGTGGAGACGGATAGAAATAGAAAAGGCGGCACACCAGGGAAGGTGGAATACCATAACAACACGTAGAACATATTGTTACACTATTCCACCCACCTTAACTGTGAACCCTTGGGTGTGGCTACTCCATAGCCTTTGGAGTCCAAGTTGCCTCCGACTTTCATTGTGTCGCAGGGCTTTCGCTGCTCAGTGTACTCATTCATTGTGGACTCCAGCAGGAAGGCGTATTTCCCTTTGGACTTGCGGACTCTCGCCACCCCCTCGGCGGTGGTCTTGGTGAAGACGGTGGGCTCGGCAGACTTCATGTAGCCCCACATCTTCTCGTAGACGGCGATCTTGGACCGCTGTGGGGTTTTTGAGGAGGGAAGGGTTGGAGGTTCAGAGGTAGACGTGGTGTGAGAGAAACATATTTCACATACGAAACAGAGAAAACATGAAGCATCAAACGTTGGCACTGTGTTGACGACATTTAACTACAATCTGCACAATAACTTACCGTGTCTAGTGGAACAGCTACAAAAACTACATGTTGGGTTCTTCATTTCAACACAATGGAGGTGAATGGGCAGAGAAACGTTTAATAAAAACAGCGGGATGTCTTTTCTCTTTTGCAGTTCAGCTGAATGGACTCAAAGTAATACTCCACTTAAAATCTTTTGTGCCTTTAACAGTCTGACTCAAAAACCCACCACTTGCACACTTGAAAGGGAGCTGCTGAAAGTTGGTTCTACACAGATAAATGCACAAAAGGAGGTAAGTTTGAATTACTCACGGCAGTATAATTTCTCAGTGTATATTCATATGAATGGAAAATTAAACAGAGATCCAGAAAAAGCAACATTTTGGACTGTATTCCTGTGAACCTGTGAGCCTTTGCTAAGTGTGCAGGTGCAGGTTGTGTATAGTTCTGCAGGAATGGTTTGAAGGATTTTTAGTCAAAATGTTCAAGTCTGCAGGGAGAATTCTGCACAGCAGGGCAAAAACAATTGGAATGTTATCACAATAGCATTTAAGTGCAATATCTGTGCATGTTTTTACAAATGTAAAATTTGTCTTTAGAAATAAAAACACTGTGCCGCTACAGAGGTGATGTACGGGAACATCAACACATCGTCATATTTATGCTTGTTTCAAAAATTACCATTTGGATGAAAATCAAGTCCTCCATCCCAATATCTGTTGAAATAATTGATGTTTTCTGCATATTGTTTCAGCCCAACTGCAGACCTGAAACTTGACTTGAACCCAACTGTACCAACTGTACATCTTTAAATCAAGCTGAATTTAAGATCAAACCTGAAGCTATATCTTTGCTGTACTAAGATGTAATAGCGTGCGCATTATGCATGATCCCAGAAGATAGAAACGCTTCCACAGCACTACATATACGCATGCAGACTGAAAGGCTACTACAAAACATGTTTTTTGCAATTAGGAATATCCCCAAACTTGCACCCTCAGAAAGAGGAAGAAGAAAAAAAACCCAAAACATTTTAAAATAACTAAACTTATTGAAGATTAAACTTTCATGCAGTCAAGCAAGTTCAGAAAAGTCAGGCTTTCTTTGCATTAACTGGCTCAACAAAACCTAAAACCCTAATCAGAGATAACGAGTAACATGAGAGTGGCTATCAGCGTTCTTTATTAACCAGGTTTTCTTCAGCAGGCTCTGAGTTTTCTTGTCTCAAAGGGCATTTGACATGTCATTTGACTCTTCTGTCTGCACAAAACAGACCAATCATGTGCTGCCGACTTCAGTTGAAAGGTTGCTGTAATGGAGAGCTATGAGGGATATTAAAAATTTAAAGCAGCATAAAGTGCTGTTACTGCGAATGGAGGAATTCTGGTAGAAAACTGTGAGTTAATATATTTATTTGACCACTCAGAGAGCTCTGAATGCAGCCACTTATTTCTAACATGACAGCTGCTCATTAGAGCTCTTTAACTTTTAAACTCATGCAAATTCATTTAAACATGAAGCTCAACAAGTGCATTTAGGTCTGACACTGACCCATAATGAAAGATCTGTTGAAAGCACTTAAGTTTTGGCCAAATTACTGTGATAAATTGAATATTCTCTGCAATAAATACCAATAACTAATCAGTTTCCTAATCTGTGTTCTATTAGCTGCAGTACCAGCAAATCAGGACCAAACTAAGGGCATATTTATGCATTTTCTGCATCACCAGCTGAATGCATACAGTTTGTGATACTGTGTATATAACGTATAATCTCAGTGAGAGAAAAAAATGTGCTTCTTACAGCAAAATTAGATCCCAAACTCTGACCAGAGCCTCCTCCACAGTTGGTTAGCTATGCAACACCAGTTACTATGGGATTCTAGGAGGTTAAAAAAAACTCTGACTTTAGGCTCAACATATGTCAATTAGCCATTAATCTAATTTTGCAGTACAGTCCTCAGGCAGATTAACTCCAGCAAGGGAAGATCTGAGTGGAATATATCTTCATCTGCTGCATATATTCAAGAGATGTTCAATGTAACATCGTCATTATGTGCAACGCAGACCTTGAACAACATCTGCTCCTGGAAATTACATTTATATGCTATAAAAGTGCAGCATGAATTAGGTTTTTATCCACAAAGGAAGGCATTTAATGAATGCTTTTCCAAATTGCAAGAATTAAAGTGATTTTTTTTCCCCGAAATGGAAGCACATTCAGGACTCAGGAGGCAAACCTCAGCCTCTGCTGATGAAGTTAAACACCAGCATTACATTTCCTCCAACATCTATTCAGTCGTACAAAAACAGAATTTCTAGGATACAAGGTCGTCTGCTAAGCTTCTGTAAGTTCCTTCAGATATTAAGAACCTTTTCTCTGGTGTGCTGAAGATGTCGAAGACTCTCCTACCTGTCTGAGACTTCAACCATCAACACTAACTCACCCTGAAGAACTCTTTGGTGGAGCCGGAGTCCAAGGTGCCGTAGGCGATGTCGGTCTGCTTGGCCAGGTCCTCGGCGCTCTCTATGGGGGAAACCATCCTCTCCACTGTGAGGAAGGCAGCCAGGTTGGCCGTGTAGGACGAGATGATGATGAGGGTGAAGAACCACCACACTCCTCCGACGATTCGCCCCGATAAAGATCTTCGAGACAGGGTAGGGAGGAAGAATAGTGCAGGGTGCAGTTTGGAAGGATTAGAAAGCAGAGGGGGATGGAGGGGATCAAAATAAGAGGGGAAAAAAAAAGATAATCGGAGTGTTGTAGGAGGTCAAATTAGGATAAAGAAGAGAGGAGAGTGAGATAAAAAGACATAGAATAGAATCAGTCTGTGGTGGAAGATGCAGTGAATTAAAATGATTGAGTAAAGCATGAAAGGCCTCCAAAGATGCTGCTAAACCACAAGGTGGAGCTCTGACAACACTCAAATCTGCCCGAGCTCTATTTTCTCCTCATTAGTGCACACTGCCTCATAAAAACCCCCACATGCTTGTGTTGACCAACTTTGATAAAGGCTACCACCGTCCCTGCTTCCCTCATCCTCCTCTGTTTTTTTTTTTTTTTGTTTACCGGTAGGATGAAAAGAGCTGCAGGTCCCCCAGCCGACGACTAGCGGTGACGGCGGCACTGTTCTTTTCTTGTTTTCTCGCTCGGGGGAGACAGATAGCTGGCTGCTCAGGAGCAGCGGAAGGTCGTGAGGAGAATCTTAAACCATAAATGCTGCATTGAGGAGAACAAACAAGATCTCCCCTTGGTGCAAATCAAACAGCGGAGGATACAAAACCCTCAGGCCTCCGTGTCAGATGCAGAGAGGGAGGAGAGGGAAGGATGGGCATCTGCAACAGTCAGTGTTTTCTTTGGCTTCTGTTTCTCTGTGCCTTATTGCAATCTGGTCACAATGCACACAGGACACAGTTTACACAAAGCATCCTTTAGACACATCATCCCCCCCTCCCCCCCAGAGCTCTGATTGCTAAAGAACAGTGTGTTTTAACAAATCACAGCCAACACAGTGCGAGGCAGCGCCGTCAACCTAAACCACAGAATCACTGAGGAAACCTCCATTTTCTCGCTCCGTGCCGATGAAAGTGCCTGTAGCGGCTTCCAATAGAGGAGTGCTGCAGCAGAGCATGTCTCCTTCACCCACACAGGAAACTTTGCCCATGAAATAGACTTATTGATGTATTAGCTCTGGATTTGAATACAAATTACTTCCCCTCTCCCCCCTCCTCACCCTCATTCGCTCTGTTTCCCCTTCTCCTTGAGAGCTGTGGCTTTAGAGCACAGAGAATTTAGCTGTAAAACAAAGAGGTGGAGGGCGTGCACGGCATCTTCTCCCTCTCCTCTCGAGCCTCCTTTATTTTTGCCACAATCCTTTCATTTGTCTCCATCCTTTCTCCTCTTTTTTCCACAGAATCAGCAGTGGACTGTGCAATAATGGGACCAGAAGAGGAGAGTCTCGGGGAGTCTCTCATCCCATCCCTCTAACTCCCTGAGCTGTGTGTTTGCTGGCTGATACCACTGACTTTGATCCACACTGACACACTGCTGTGTCTTGATGGGCTTGCAGTAAACAGAAGGAATTGGGGGGAGGGAGCTCAAAGCTGGGAGTTTTTGTAAATTGTAATTTTCAGGCCACGTCAGCACTCCCGGTGTGTTCTTTTCTTTTTTTTCTCTCTCTCTCTTTCATCCTTGAAGTCACCATGGATTCCACATATTGTACGATATCATAATCCCTGCCAGGGAGCCGGGCGTAATATCAGCTGATTACGGTCGACATGGCAACCAGAAAAACAACAATGGACTTCCCCGCAGGAATCGTATTTTAAAGGCTTGGTTTGTTCAAAATTACACCCAAATTACAATCATAGGATGACGCATTTCACTTCATCAAACTGTTCGCCATGCTCATATTACACACTTTTGTTGTTGTTGTTGTTGTTTTTAAATGTGTACCATTTATCAGAGCCAGAAACGATAAAAATAGAAAGAATCATCAGATTTTTTAGCTGTGATGTGGTGTTCTATTGAAAAACTCAACCAAATCTAAACTTAAAATGGTCATACTTAACTTCTTCAGGCCTGGGGTCCACATGTGTGACATTCACATTTTAGGTTATATTACCACAGTACAGTAATTATTTTTGATTTAAAAAAAAAATAAATAAATAAAATAAAATAAAAAATAAATAATAAAAAGGAATAAATAAATATTATTGGTATTTTTTTTAATTAAAAATATCTTTTTCAATTTTTTAAAGATATATTTTTATTTTCTTTATATTTTTTTATTCTCTTTGCTATTTGATCAGATTGAATAGCAAAGAGAAATAAAAAAATGCATATCAAACAAGAGCTCGCGTCTTAAGAGGTTAATGAAAGTCACTTTATTCTACATGTCTCTCCTAAAATAAAGTTTGCTCCCACTAGAGTCTGTAAAAAGAAAAACCTCAAGCAAAAACAAACAAACTAAACATTTGGAAAAATGATCTAAATCTAAGCTAAATTCCAGATGTTTTTAATCAAAATCGATTCATTACGTATGTCTCATTTAAAAATATATTAAACATAAATCAGTCCTAAACTAATCAACAGTTGTGACAAAAATTCAGGGACTCCTCAACTGAGCTGCAGGCAGTGTTTCCACAGAGCAGAGAGGAGACAAGTGTAGAAACTAATCAAATTAATAGTAGTGAAATATTTACAGTATGTAGAGAAGGATTTATTACATCATAACTTTGTCATACTGCACAAAGACATCTTTGAGTTCTCTCTGCTTCTAGTCACAGTTGTGCTGTCTACATAGAGGTGCAGGACTTTTTATATTGCAGTGAAAAATAAATCCATGTTGTGTAAATATGGGTTCCAGAATGTTAAGGAGAAAAGTTTGTGAGGTCAGAACATGTTCAGAGTCAATATTATGCTTTTAGCTCTTAGTTTTAGGCAAACTGTTGAATTATTTACATTGTAGTGACACATGCACCTATCCAAGTGTGGCTGTTACAATATTTTTGTGCGATATAAAACTGTGGTCTGAAAAGAAAAAAAAAAAGTTTCATCGCTGTTAGATGTTGTGAAAAATGTTGGCGAGAACTTGACTGTAATGATGTATGAGCTCCGTTCTCCCATGTGTGGAGGAAAGTAGAAAACCAGACGGGGGGAAAGTATTAGGAGAAATAAAGTGGAAACAAAACAGAAATTGGCTCCAGTGCTGCAGCAACGGGAAGCTTCGCAGCAGTCCAGTAGCCTTGGGGTGTAAAAAATACTTCATAGAGTAAAAACAGAATAATTTTAGCAATTACACAGCAATTAGTCAGGACTTCTAAGTGAAATTAATTAGTATTTATTAAACGGGACAGGGCAGATGTAATGTTGCTGGTGTGGTCTGCATGTTGGAACTCCTCTGTTTATGCAATCAATCTTGATTCATTTCTTATTCATTTCTTTCTCAAAATGCAATAACCTTTTTCCATTTACCAAAAACACATACTGGGTGTTGTTCAGTCCCACCAGCCTTTACGTCAATGAATGAATTCCCAAATATGATAAAGAAAACAGGCCGGTGCAATCAATTTTTGTGCAGCTGCGGAGTCACAAAAAGGGTCACTTGTGTTTAAATATTTCACATAACCTACACATCTTAGCTTCAAAGAGCTGCTGGAAGCAACAGCATATAGAATATACAGCGTAAATACTACACATTGTCACACTGTGTGGAATGATTCTAAATTTCTCAGTTTGAGGCCGCAAAATGCTGCGTTTAAAGGGAAAACTAAGATCGAGGCATTTAAATGAAAATCCAAAGATAATAAGCGACATGAAAGCAAAGCGAATCTCGTATCAGGATTAAATATAATACGGTTTGCGTTAGTATCACTGACCAGTCAGCAAAACCATCCGACACACTGTGATGATGTGAGGCAGGAAGCTTTAAAGCACTCGCTGCTCACATTGGCCCACTTCCCTCTTTTATTTCCTCTGATGTGAGAAAAAAAAAAGAAAAGAGGAAAATAAAAAGCTGCTGTCAGAGATGATTTGGTGCAGAGTGTTTGCGGAGGTTCTCCACAGGATTTGTTGGAATATTTGTGAGAGGAGGAAACCGGGTGCAGAAGAAGAGAATATGAAAGAAAAGGAGGAGATAGAGGGAAAGATTGGGGAGCAGCTCTGACCTTGAGTGGAGCCTAAATAAATGAGGAGGTGCTGCTCTGCTCCCAGGGTGAATCCTGGGGCGAGATCGGGCTGTTTGACTTATTTATTGCAGGCAAACTGTCACTCCAGATCTCTACCTCTGCTTCCACGTTCTGTCCGCAGCTCCAGCCCTGATAGAACCCTTAAAGTGCAACACTAAACCTGCTGCACTGTAAAATGTGAAAAGCTGATCTGGTTGCACTCAAAAAAAGGTAAGTAAATATAAGCATTAGTCTTAACTGTAGTTTACTTCATATCTACTTGTAAAGTTTACTTAAAATATAGCTGTATTTACTTAATTTTGAGAACTTTAAAATAGCAAGTATAATGAACTTTCCAAGTGTTATAATAATTATGATAGATCAGATTTGTGTAGCGCTTTAGACACTCAGTCGCTTCACACTGTCACTTATTCATTCACTCACATTCATTCAGCTGCCATTGTAGCCACAGCTGACAGAGGCGTTGCTGCCATTCTGCCCTCCGACCACCACCTCAAACAATCCATTCATACGTATTCACACCATGAAATGTGGGCATAGTGTATTGCCCAAGGACACAACGACCATGACACAGGTTACAGGGCGGAATCGAACCACCAACCCGTAAAGTTTCTGGAAACTTCTCCTGCACTTCTCTACTGCACATGTGCACTGCTGAGCTCTGTGTTCAGTCCAGGAACAGAACGTTTCAAGTCCAGTCCAGTATGCTTAGTTTTATAACTCTATAACTAAATTACATCAGCGCTTGTTACGTTAAGGCAGGAAAGGATTATTTTACTGCAAAAACTTCTAAAAATGAAACTTTGATTCACAGGGAAGAGTTTTTCGAAGCTTAATCAACAACCGGAGAGGGACTTCAAAAAGATTTTTGCACAGATTTGAGTGTACGGATGCTTTTTTTTTCTTTTTCTTTTCATTAAAATGAAAGCCAAGCAGAAAATAGGGGATTATGCCCT